TCGATGGTTCAGGGAGCAGCCCCTCTCGACCCTCCGAAAGGACAGCCGGCCGCCGCCATCGTTACTAGTTCGGGAGATGTGGACGGAGGGGTCGTGGGATGTCGGGCGGTTACGTGCCTATCTCCCGGAGTCTCTTGTTCAGCGTGTTATGGAATTTCCTATCGATCGACAGTCTGAGGATCGGATGAGTTGGATGGCTGCACCGTCTGGCACATTTACGACGTTTTCTGCTTGGGAGCGCTGCCGTCATGCGGGGATACGGAGTTGGCTCTCAGGGCTATTATGGTAACGCATTCTCACCCCGATGATGTCTGTTTTCTTATAGAGGCTATTTCGACGACGGATACCGACAGATGAGATCCTTCAGTATTATGGCATCTCGATAGTCTCACGATGTCATTGTTGTCGGACGGAGGTGGAGACTATCCCGCATCTCTTTATTGGTTCGGGGGTTGCCCGACGAGTGTGGGAGCACTTTGCAGCGCTGTTCAGCCTATCTTTACCGGAGACACATACACTGCATCTACTTGTGTCTTCGTGGCGGCTCTCCTCGGCGCACCCTCAGAGTATCAGGGCGTATGTTCCATTGTTGATTTTTTGGTTCCTTTGGACCGCTCGGAATGACGCGAAGCACAGGGGGCTTCGGGTATCCTCCGAGAGGATCATCTGGCGGATTCATACACATTTGCAGACTCTTTCGCGAGCTAGAATCCTCTTACATCGACATTGGGCAGGTGACTTTCATATTGCCGAGGGGCTTGGACTTCGATATCCCCCTCCGACCCCTCGGCCCCCGATTATGGTGCGATGGGAGGCACCCTCTCCGGGATGGTTCAAGCTTAACACCGATGGTGCTTTGCTTGGCAATCCTGGCGTAGCGGGTGCGGCTGATATTATCCGCGATTCAGCCGGGGCGGTACTCATTGCTTTCCAGACTCCGATTCCGCGGGCGACGAACACTTTGGTGGAGCTGACAGCGATCCAGACTGGCGTAGGGATTGCGATTGAGTGAGGATTGACGCTGTTGTGGATCCAGACAGACTCGACGGCATGCATATCTCTGATCTCCTCCGAGACGAGCCACTGGACTCTCCAGCGCTGCCTTATGCATGTTCGACTACGACTTAGGGATTCGCCTTGGAAGATATCTCATATATATCGAGAGGGGAACCGCGTAGCAGATGCCTTAGCGACTTTGGCGGTTTCCCTCCCGATGGAGACGATGCTTCTCCCCTCAGATATTCCTTCGTCGCTTCGAGGCCTCCTTCGAGCGGACGCTGATGGCCTTCCGTCCTTCCGTTTCAGATAGTAGGCCTCTCCCTACTCTTTGATTCTAGACTTAGCATTGATTGTTGTTACTTAGACTTGATCACTTAGTATTTGTCCCACTTTAGGCTAGATACTTACTATTAGCTGGTCTTGTCTGTTTGCTTTACTGAGACTGTATAGCTTGTATCTAGAACTACGTATGGCTTTATCCCATTTGGGTACGTAGGCAGCCCACTCGGGCGCAGCCACTGCTATATAGTTTTTTTTTAAAAACAAAAATGCCTAATGCTCCTGGACATCTAAATGTTGTCTTGTGAATGTCTTCCTCTGCCAAAAATATTTGGTTATATCCTGCATAACCATCCATCAAACTGAGAATTCTGTGCCCTGCTACTGAGTCAATTAGCATGTCGGCCATAGGCATCACATACTCATCTTTAGGGGTGGCCATATTAAGATCTCTAAAATCGATGCATATCCTGATCTTCCTATTTTTCTTAACCACTGGTACAATATTGGCCAACCAATCTGCATAACGGCAAGGTCGGATGAAACCCACTTTGAGAAGCTTCTGAATCTCTTCTTTGATCTGAGGCATCAAGTCAAGACTCATACGTCTTGGAGATTGCTTACAAAGGCTTGAAATCCTTCTTAATGGGCAATCGATGTTCTATCAGACTTCGCTCCAGACCAGGAATTTCTGAATAGTCCTAAGCTAAACAATCAATATTGTTTCTTATAACCTCGAGCATCAATGTTTGTTGCTCTTCAGATAAATAACCACTCACTCTGATTATTTTTGGAACCAGGTCGGTTCCTAAAATCCAGTAAAGGATCTTGTGCTGAGAAAGTTGGCTCTGTTTTCTCTAATAGATCAGGACAGCGAAATTGTTCATCTTCTTGGAAATAAACATCATGTATCTTTTTTATTTTTTCTACTTTTTTCAAAAGCTGGTCTAAATAATATTGATTAATAAGTAAACTACAATATTGTAATTATGCTTCTTCCACAAAAAATATATATTATAAAAAGTAGGTCTGGCTTGCTCAAGAGCCATATAGTACAACTTGTTCTTTTAAAAGAACATTAAATTCTGGCCAATAAATTTAAAACCCTTCTTTGGGTAATCATTAGCCATAAAAAACTGATACATTGGAGGTACATGACCAGAATAAAAAACTGATTCTTCAACTTGTTCTGATGCTCCAAAAGGATTGTCATTTGCCTCCATTTTGAAGACCTAGTTGCCTTCCCAAAACATCAATTGTTGATGCAGTGTTGATGGTACACATTTAGATGCATGAATACAATCTCCACCAAGCAGAATTGAGTATGTGGTATCTGCATCCACCACGAAGAAAACAGAAGAAATCTTCTTTGGACCGACTTCAATGGAGGCGACCAGCATGTTTTCTGGTCTGGTCGGCTACCCTGTAAAGCTAGTCATCTCAAAATCCACAGGAGATAGATCATGAATTCCCTTTCCTAACTTCTTGAGAGTCTTTAATGACATTACATTGAAGACGGCCCCATTATCTATGAAAACCTTTGTGATTGGTTTCCCACAAATATGAGCATTAACATACAGAGGCTTCAAATGAGACGCCATGCCTTCTGGAATGGGAGGGAAGACTATTGGAGGGGCCTCTGATTGAAAGTCAGGATCCGCAATTTTTGCCCATTCTGGCTCTTCTATAGACTCATCCACCAGACTTGCCCACAAAGGCTCTTCCTCAACCCAATTAATCTCTGTCATCTGGCAGGGGATACGTGGCCCTAGTCGAGATTTGACAGACCTTGAATCCTTCTCTGGAATTTCATCCTTGACTTCAATTCCGGGTTGAACAGTCAAAGATTCCAAACGAAACCCCTCCAGTGATGGGTTAATGTTAACCTTCTCACAATATTAACATCTGAAACCTTTAACTCTTTCATCAGACAAACTTTTACCCTTCTTTTGCATGGACCGACCTCCCTCATTATAATTAGCAGTGTCCGGTACGCTGGTCGGCTGCTTTGATGAGGCAGCCCCGATGAGCCAACCTTCCTCTACCTCATTCGGCTACTCAAATGAAACGACCCTAATGGACCGACCTCCCTCTGAATACTTACCAGCGCCTCGGGTGTCATTCGGTTTCTTTGATAAGGCGACCTTGTCTCTGTATCTCGCAGCGTATCTGCGTTTGGCATTCCGAATCTGAGTATGATTCATGCCTGGGAAGCGAGGATCTACATCAATTGGTAAAGGTTTCTTATTTTGAGTCCATTTGCTTCCGACCGCACCCGTCCTCCTGGTCGGGTGGTCCCGAACCAAAGCTTGGTCCTTTAACTCCACATTAAAAGAACCATCTTGGTTGTCCCATTTTTCAGCCACTGTTTTTTCACATACCTTGAGTTTCTCCTCTGGTCGGCCACTGTTTAATGAACTCCCTTTTTTCGTTTTGGAAGTTGCTTGTATATTAACCATTGCTGTGGTTACTTCCGAAAATGGTTGCTGCTCCACTCCCAAAGTAATATATTTGAGCCGACCTGCCTTAATAGCTTTGGATCTCATTTCGAAAATGAGTGCATTGACTTGTATTATGTGTGAAGGAGTTATGCCACTTATAGTACGGCCTCCCTTTGATTTTTTCCTTAGTAGCCAACCTCTGCCCCTTTGGAATTCGGATCTGACCATCAGTTAGCAAAATATCAAATATCTCATCGGCCTTTGAATTGTCAAAGGTCGGTTGCCCTTTAGCTTTTGTTCCTGGTGCTGGCTTTAACTTAGAGCATACATAAGGCTTTCCGGAAATTATTTCGGCCGCCATCTCTTCTGTTTGATCATAATCAAAGTCGTATGCCTTTGTTTCCATACTAGCCATATGTTGGCCCTTATTACGCCTGAAATTCTAATCCCTTTCCCTGAAAAGAGATTCTAAACGTCTAGCCTTGGATGCGAGACTTGCCAAATCCTCGACATCATATGCAGTGAGCGCATCCCTCAGACGACCATGCATGTTTCGGACCACTAAGTTGGTCATCTCTTTCTCATTGATTATTGTAGGACACCGTACTTTCATCAATCGCACCCTTTCAATAAATTGTAAAGCTGACTCGTCTGGATATTGTTTCATTTCCAATAAATCAGTCAAAGAAATCGTTGGCAAAGGATTGAAAAATCTGGCATGAAATGTCATCTCTAAACCTTCCCAAGTTTGTATCTGCCCAGGTGGCAGACTTACAAACCATGAAAAAATAGTCCTAGTTAGGGACAATCCAAACAGTTGTAACTTGTAAAAAGGATTGTTACCAATTTCCTCTAACTGTGCTGTAAAACGCCCCACATGTTCTATAGTGGAGGATCCGTCTTCTCCAGAAAAAGCATGAAAATCTGGTGGCCTGTAATTCCTTGGGAGAGGATATTCGTTAATAATCCTTTCTGGAAACGGTCTCTGATAAGCAGGTCGGTTGGCCATCTGAGGATTTAGACCAAACTGAACCCTCAATACGTGAGCAATTTCATCACCCAAACGAAAATTTTGATGATCAGGAACATCGATGGGATTTTGCACAGGAATAAGAATAGGATCCTACACATGTCCCCATGGCCTTTCCTCTCTTGTAATGTTCGGTTGAACATTTTCAACCCTTGGTCCCAAAGAAATATTATTTGGGAAAGTCAGAGGAGTCTTTCCCCTAAATGTTCGGTTGAACGTTGTGGCGCTTGGAAGTGTGTTGTCCACATATGATGGCCCTGCAAAATTTGCTTGCATTCTTGATGGTGACGCCCCTGGCGGCGTCTGGGTGGGTTGAAGAGTAACCCTTTATAATGCTTGATCTAACATGTTCTGCATCAGATTTTGTTGCTCGCGTAACATATTCTGCATAACCACAGTTTGCTGATTGTTCATTTGCTGAACATAGGACAACCAATAGGTACGTGGTTGGGGAATCTTCCCTGGATTTGGCATGACGGGTGGTGAAACATTTTCTCCCGCCGGTGCTGATGATGATTGAGGTTGTGAGCCTGCCATACTGATCTTTTTTATGATTCGGCCAGACCTCAGTCGTATGAAATTCTCTGGTAATGTAGGATCAGAAATCTTTCCTTTCTCCCACTGTGGTCGCCAAATTGTTGATGTATTTTTTCAACAAACAAAAAGTAAAATTCAAAGATATGGAAAATATCCTTAAATTTGATTAATTAGCGTCTGAGATTAAGAATCTCTAAACACTGTACGGTACATAAGAAAATTAACTGGAAATTAAAATGCTGAAAATTTAAAGTGGTGATCCCGAATCTGACTTTGCTTTGTTGAAGTTGATTGAAGATAATCTTTCCAGAAAAATCCAAATCCTTAAATATCCCTTGAGAAACAGTACTGGAAACCGTCGCCCGAACGGTTACAACGTCTCTTTTTTCAACCGTTTGCTAACCCTTCTCCTGCTGACACGTGCCCTCAACCGACCACATTATCATTCTCACTTACTCCCAACAGTATCTGACTCCCTGGACCGACCGCAAACCTTCCACCCCTTTGGCCCGACCGCAAATCTTCTGCCTTGCAGACCACCCGACTTATTTGGTCCAGTCACAAACCTTCCGACCTACAGACCATCCGACTTGTTAGTCCAGCCGCAGACCTCCCGACCTACAGACCATCCGACTTGTTAGTCCAGCCGCAGGCCTCCCGACTTAAAGACCATCCGACTTATTGGTCCAGCCGCAGACCTTCCGACTTAAAGACCATCCGACTTATTGGTCCAGCCGCAGACCTCCCGACCTACAGACCATCCGACTTATTGGTCCAGCCGCAGACCTCCCGACTTAAAGACCATCCGTCCCGAGGACTTTCCGACCTGCGGACCTCCCGACCTGAGGACCTTCCGAACTACAGACTTTCCGACATGCGGACCTTCCGTCCTGAGGACTTTCCGACCTGCGGACCTCCCGACCTGAGGACTTTCCGACCTGTGGACCACCCGACCTGAGGACCTTCCGACCTGAGGACTTTCCATCCTAAAGACTTTCTGACCTGCGGACCTCTCGACCTGAGGACATTCCGACCTACGGACCTCCCGACTTGAGGACCTTCCGACCTGCGGACCTTCCAACCCGATATTTCCTTAGAAATATATCTATTTTACTTGAGTTTTCCATGGTGCCCCTCGGCCAGTTCGATCAACTCGATTGCTAGGCCCATTTTTCTTTTTACCTTGGGCTTTTTAACCTAATTCTAAATTTCATACGTAACACTAAGCATATCACTTATATCCGAATGAAGTAAGAATCTATAGAATCGAATTCTAATAAGATGTTGTTTAATAGTTAGTGTCATTGAATGCTAGTTGTTTAAACGCAAATACTGAATAGTCTGAATTTGCTTCGAATGGTTGGTTTCTCTGCACTATAATCTTAATGATATTCAAAACCAATGTTTTGAAAAGTACTTTCTCATATTTGTACAGTCCAGGTTATCCCCATTCGTGACTACAAGAGCCAGAAAAGAGGAAAAGATGCTCGAAGAACTCACAGAACTGCAGGGCTCTTCTGCTCCCGGTGCTAGCCTTACACCCGAGAGAAAGTGGTTTGCCTTGATGGATACCTTGACATTGTCCCGGCACAGAGCACTTCAGCCCGTACACAAGCTCCGGAATGCTTTGATTGAAAACAGCAAGTTGCTGCACCAAACATTCAATTGGCTTCATTGTGTTTGAGGTCACTTGGAACAATGTGCGGGGTCAGGCCCGTCCCTGGGGCTGGGCCATGAAGGCAACCGCCCAGGGCCCAGCCCAGGTTGGGCCCCAAATTCTAAATTTTTAGATTTATATATATATATATATATAGAAGGGTAATAACGGTCTGTATGCAGTCATTTTAGTGGCTAAATTCCCAATGCGAGCGACCATTCCATTCCCACTGATTTATCTTTAATTTACCGTTGAGTATTAAATTTTTTATATATCTAAGTATACTGACAATTTTCTTTTTCTGCAATTTTTTTCATTCCACTCTCAAATCCCACCAATATTTTTTTTCTCTGCAATTTTTTCTATTCCACTCTCAAATCCCACCAATATTTTCTTTGTCTGCAATTTTTTCCCCACACGGCAATTCTTTCAACGCCATTCTTCAAGTTAAACTATGCAATTGAAAAATTGCAGGCTTGCAGGTCTATTGACCATTTTTACAGGTAGTTAGGGTTTCAATTAATTTTTTTTAATTGTATTTATTTGCTTAATCTTACAATATTTTAATTGAATTAATTTGTTCAGTTTTAGATCTTTTTTAGTGTTATAAGTTAACTTAATTGTTTGATTATATATATATATAAGATTACAGTGATATAGATAATAGATGCAATTTTTATTTGAAAAACATTTGCGATTAATTTTTTAAATTTTTTTTTTTTTTTTGGTGTTATAGGTTAACATTTTTTTTTCTTTTATATTATTTTTAGATAATACAAACAATTGAACAAGACAAAGAAAGAATTGTGAATAAAATCCAGGTGCTTTTTCTTTTATATTATTTGCTATGATTGTTATCCAAATGTTTCGATTGCTTATCGAATTTTATTAAGAGTTCCTGTAACAGTAGCATCTGTTGAAAGAAGTTTTTCTAAATTAAAATTACGGAAAACTTATTTGAGGTCATCTATGTCGCAAGAAAGATTGAATGGTTTAGCTATGTTATCTATTGAAAAAGAAATGCTAGAAACCATTGATGTTGATAATATTATTAATGATTTTGCATCAAAAAATGCTAGGAGAAGTAATTTTATGTAATACTTATGTATTTTTATTTATATTCTACAAACATACAAAAATAACTCACACAAAATAGCAAACAAAATATGATAGCAAGTTGGTGAAATAATCCAAAATATTAATAGTTTTGAGTTGTATTGTTTAATGTTTAATTTGTTTTGCATTAAACATATTTTGTAAAAATGAAATATTGCTATTTTTGATTTTTTAATAGTAATTATTTTTTATTTTTTTAAAAAAATTATTTGACATGGGCCTCATTTTTAAGTTTTGTCCAGACCTTGGATATGTGAATAACGGGCCTGGCTGGGAATTAACTACCTAAACGAACTTCAGGTAAATAATACTATTAAAAGCCAATAATCAATCTGAGTGATGCATTTTGAGGTTTTATCGCATAAATTGTGAGTCTCACTTCTTCTGATGATTACGTTATTTAGACCGACACATTGCTTGCAATTGAAGCGAAAATCATGAGAAGATGGGAATTCGACAGTATTGCACAAGCTGCAGCAAGCACAAGTACATGGTTTTCGGGGACAGTGAGCGAGCATATAGTCTTAAAAAAGCATCTGGATGCCTCTATAGGTATTTTATCCATGAGGGAAAACAAACATTTTCTAAAAACAGCCAACTAACTAATTAATATGTAGGCTATTGCTTTATATCTGAGTTTAAAGCTATTATTGCTGTTGCAGGGGAAGTCTATCATGATGTTCTAGAAAGCCTACCAATGATTACTGAGGATGATATGGATGACGTACCGAATGAAGCCAGGAACGACTCTCCTAGTTGCACCTCATGTTCGAATACAGAGACAACTGAAAATAAACAATGGCAGGAATGTGAAGAACCAATTGAGACAACTGTTTACAAGAATGTTTTGATTTTGTTCCGATTCAATGATCCGGAGCTACCCTTTAAATTGAAGGACATAATAATGTCAGAATTGTGGCTACTTACACTACTTGAGGCAGGACTTCCTCCTTGGGCTATATTCCTGCAGTCTTACCCTGGATTCTCGAGACTTTATCGTCCATGGATGTGCCCGCTGGCACGAGCTTTGTACGTGCTCATCTCATTCGTCACAGTTGCCATTGGCTTCTATGACCTGTACAAAAACATACCACTTCTTAAAGCAACAGCTTCCCATTTATCTGGACCTCTTTTCGATTGGATAGAAGCATGGGAAATGGTTTCGAGGATCCAGTATTTGGGAACTATGCTGTTTCTACATAACTTTCAGAAAGCTGTGAAATGCTTTCTTGTGGTGGCACGGACCATCTTCTCATTCCTTTCTGTCTTTATTCTCCCCATGGCGCGACCATTTATCCGAATATTGGAATTCTTCCTTCCTCTTGTGAGCATGCTTATGGACATAGCATAGGATTTCTTCTCTGTTATTTGGATGGTTGTCGAGACTACATTTACAGTGGCAGGAGACATTTTAGAGATTTTGTTGCTACCATTTTGGTATGTGTTTGCAACAGCTTGGAATGTTGGTAAGTTAATAAAAGATATGGTTAAACATAATAATATATCTATCTGTCTGCTCTGCTCTGCTCTGCTCTGCTTATGATTGAGATTTTTTGTTTATTAAGCTTTCTTTGTTTCTCCTCTTGTGTTGTGTTTGATGCAGTAATGTCTTTAATATTCCCTATTGTTTGGATGGTTTTCTATGCTACATTTAAGCTGGTCCATGGATTATGTAGAATTCTAGTCTTCTTCTGTGCTTTTACGTATAATTTTCTTGGGACTATATTCTTTCAGCTTTCGAGGGGTGTCGAGACAACAACAGTGATCACATATGAGGCTTCGCTGTGGCGTTCTCTTTGGAATGATCTTTTCTCTCAGGTAGGTGGTACTTTCAGATTTTCTTATATTTTTATTTTTTTTTATAATATGATTTGATTTGATTTAGATTAAATAAGTAGTAGTAGTAGTAGTAGTAGGAGAGTATATATAGTAGAGTATTATTTAAGTCTATATAGCAGCACTCGAGTTTTTTATGGAAATGTTGGTAGTCGTTGGTATGGTATCATGTACACTTTTAACTTAAGTTGAAACTTCTGAATGGCAGTATTGTATTGTGCTTTCCTTATGAATCAGATCTTTCGTGCCCTGAGGAGTATTTTGAACGGCTTTGCGGCTTTCTTCATGGCATGTAACAGACATCGTCTTAGGTAAGATATTTTAATGGCTCGCTCTTAGGTTGGTTATCCATGTTTCTGCTGCTTATTATTATTATTATTACAATTGAAAGTTTGTTGTCATGTCAATGCCTATGCATTATAGACCTTCGGTATATCTATCTATCTATCTATCTATCTACCTATCAGAGCTCTTGGGAATTGCTTTGCATGATCATAAGATTTGTGTACAAAATGTTGGCATGCTAGATGAAAAACTAGTTACACCCGCGATACTCTTTGATTTCTGTCCAATACTATATAAGTCGTAGGTGTTATAAAGATCACCAAACCTAGGAAGTGATGCGATAGCTATATGTATGTATATTTGAAATGGGGAGGGTTACTATGCTTATTTTGAAATAGGACCGCGTGTTTTTTTGTTCATATTTATAGCGTGTGTGATGTATAAGAGTACTATGTTATATGTTTTATGTGTTATCATATTCATATGTTTTATTTGTATTATATTAAGTCATATTATATACAAGCCCGTCCCTGGGGCTGGCCCATGAATTCTAAATTTTTATATTGATATATATATATATATATATAAAAGGGTAATAACTACATGCGGTCTGTCTGCAGTCATTTTAATGGCTAAATTCTCAATGCTAGCCACCATTTCACTCTCACTGATTTATCTTTAATTTACCGTTAAGTATTAAATTTTTTATATATTTAATTATACTTACAATTTTTTTTTTCTGCAATTTTTTTCATTCCACTTTCAAATCCCACCAATATTTTTTTTATCTGCAATTTTTTTCATTCCACTCTCAAATCCCACCAATATTTTATTTCTCTGCAATTTTCTCATATCCCATCAATATTTTCTTTCTCTGCAATTTTCTCAAATCCCACCAATATTTTCTTTCTCTACAATTTTTTTCATTCCACTCTCAAATCCCACCAATATTTTCTTTATCTGCAATTTTTTCCCCACAAGGCAATTCTTTCTACGCCATTTTTCAAGTTAAACTGTGCAATTGAAAAATTGCAAGCTTGCAAGCCTATTGACCATTTTTACAGGTGGTTAAGGTTTCAATTAATTTTTTTAATTGTATTTATTTGCTTAATCTTACAATATTTTATTTTTTATTATATATATATATAAGATTACAATGATATAGATAATAGATGCAATTTTTATTTGAAAAATATTTGCAATTAATTTTTTTAATTTTTTCTTTTTGGTGTTAGAGGTTAAAGTTTTTTTTTCTTTTCTTTTATATTATTTGCAGATATACAAACAATTGAACAAGGACAAAGAAAGAATTATGAATAAAATCCATGTGCTTTTTCTTTTATATTATTTGCTTTGATTGTTATCCAAATATTTCGATTGCTTATCGAATTTTATTAACAGTTTCTGTAACAGTAGCATCCGCTGAGAGAAGTTTTTCCAAATTAAAATTACTGAAAACTTATTTGAGGTCATCAATGTCACAAGAAAGACTGAATGGTTTAGCTATGTTATCTATTGAAAAAGAAAGGCTAGAAACCATTGATGTTATAATATTATTAATGATTTTGCATAAAAAAAAATGCTAGGAGAAGTAATTTTATGTAATACTTATGTATTTTTATTTATATTCTACAAACATACAATAAAAATAATTCACACAAAAATAGCAAACAAAATATGATAGCATGACTGTGGCAATATGCATGAAGTTGGTGAAATAATCCAAAATATTAATAGTTTTGAGTTGTATTGTTTAATGTTTAATTTGTTTTGCATTAAACATATTTTGTAAAACTGAAATATTGTTATTTTTTATTTTTTAATAATAATAATTTTTTATTTTTTTTAAAAAAAAATTATTTGATAGGGACCTCATTTTTTAGTTTTGTCCTAGGCCTTCGATATGTCAGGAACGGACCTGATTACATAATGTTATTAGCACACAATATAATGTAGAATTTAATTTTAGATGCCTCAATTTCAAATGTGATGTGTTGGCTAGTAATTCATATATATATATATATATGAATTTAGATATTTGACTTTTATTTCAATAATTTTAATATAATATTTTATAAACAAGATTATATTTTTTTAGAAATATAAATTTCAAATAATAAAAAATTGTATTTGCTCATTTTGGATTCAATTCAAAACATCATGTAAATTTAATTTTAATTCAAAAAGTTGTTACGATTTAAAACATCATATCAAATATTGATATATTTTGAATAAAAATTTTAATTTGTAATATACTCTCTCTGTCCCCAAAAAAATAAAAAATAGTTTTATTTTGCCATTTTCCTATATTTCATATAAATAGTCTTATTTTCATTTTTAATAACCAGTCTCTACCTTTTTTACAAAACTATCCCCAACATTTCCACAATAATTATATACAGTAGGGACATTTTGATCTTTTAGACTATCAATAAATTCTTGTGTCCATTCCAAATATCAAAATATTACATCCATCTGCTATGCTAGAAAGGAGGTAAGTAAAAATATGAAAGAAGAATATATGTTTAATTTAATAATTTAAAAAAATAAGGTAAAAAATAGAGTGTGTGATCAAAATAAGATGTTCCGAATTCATGTAATAGTAACGTATTAGTATTTTATAAATATATAGGATAATATTATAAAAATATTTTTTTGATTTATATTTTATATTTAAATAATATTTAATGTGATCTTTTTAAAAAAGTATATATTTTAAAATGCAAAATTCTAATAATAAAATTGAAAAATAAATTTTAAAAAATCTATCCCTACTCTACATATGAGGAGAGAAATCTCGTTCTGTACATTCGACCATATTATATTTTTGTGTGTTTAAAATGAGTCAAGATCTATTATTATACTCAAATGTGAACTTAGAGGTTTATGTGTTAGAATGTTTTGGGGGTCCAACTAGGCCATAAGAGAAAAAGGTTCAAATATTAAGGATAAAAGTTAAATTGTGATTAAGGTTCAAATGTTTTGAGAATAATAATAAAAAATTAATATTTGATATGATGTAAATAAATTGTGAATAATTTAGTAAAAGATGGCATAGTAACGTAAGAATAGACTCGTGACCGTGAGATCATGAGTTCAAACTCCGAAGTTCTAGCTTATGGTATGTCTATTATCACCGTATCTCTTTCTCTCTCCTGACTGCAATTCAATTCAGCATCTACATTCATGTGAAGGAGTTCATCAAGATACTACTGCGTGCTATCAGGAGTGCATGTTCTAAAGGAACCAAGACCGACCACACCCAAACCCAACAATCTGACTCTCAACTACTCGTAAGTCATATTTCTCACATTAATTAATTAGTTAGTATGTTTACACAAAACTAGAGCCACCATATTTGTCACATCGTGTGTTTACTTAGATTGAATAATATTAATTTATATTTTAATTGATTGAAACCGGAGAATGATTAAAATATGTCTTAATAATACACAAGTCAAAATAATAATTAAATGGATAGAATTAATTTATCCTACAAAATATAGTATGCTATGTTGTTTTAAATTCACTTATTCATTCTTAGCTCCCATTTTACTTGAGGAGAGTAGAAGAAGACTGTCAAATTACGAATTGAAGTCCACCAAGTCCATCTAGCTTAGCTAGATAGCTAGCACCCATCCCCAAGGCCCAGGTGCGACTTTTACAACATTAATTTTAATTTGTGAATATGTGTACCAGGTGTGTGCAGAAGGTAGCACAACACTTGAAAATATCATCCATTCGTGTTTTCATTCTGCTATAAAAATATATGTAGATATAGAATTAGCTCTGATGCCCTTGGACAACGTATAAACTCACCATTGAAGATCCTAACTCTACACCATATCCACTCATGGAGAGCTTCTTTTCAGTCAGCGTAACATGTGTTAGGAAGGAAGGAGTAGGCAACATATACATACATATTCATTGTTGTTCTTTAACTGGAATGTCTGTCTGTCTGTCTGTCTGTCTGTCTGTCTTCTTACGACCTAAAATTGGCTACGATAGCCATATAACATATACATACAATCAATCACAAATAAGATAAAAGATAGAGATAGAGATAGAGATAGAGATAGAGACAGAGATGACTATGCTACTCAAACTAACCAATACTTCATAATGACATTGTTCTGTCGTTTCGAGTATAATAGTATAGTTTTGTCAAACCATATAGAAGAGAAGATCATTTCGAGTACCCGTAGCTTCTGGAATCCAAAAATGTTGAAATGGCTCAAGTAGATAGCTCTTTTACGGGAGCTAAAATTTTAAAAGCATTTATTTAGCCACATAAGAGGAGTGGCGAGTGAGGCAACTTCTAAGTTTCTATCTCTCCTTTGATAACAATAACAATGACAAAAGAAACCAGGTTGGGAGGAGAAACTAAAACTAATGACATAACCTTTCTGCATGTTGTTATTACCAACCAACCAACCAGCCTTCAACTACGTCACTGAAGTTGAAGTTGAAATTGAAAGGAACAATTTCAACACAGGCCAGGGGACGAAGATTAGGAGGAGCTTAGCATAGCAAGAAAAACTCCTAAATAGCTTCTTCACTGAAATCAAGTAAGACGGCGATCTAATAAGAGAGGTAATATTCTGAGTGAAAAAGTGTTTTAGGGAATGGAATATCATTGCTTCTCTTCAAAATTACCCAAGACTACTTACTGCTACTGGTTGTACCTCGAGATTGGATTGGAGAATGTCCGGAATGAGGACACATCGAACATCTCCATAAACCTTTGATCTGAAACTCTAGTTTTGGCTGCTGCAAAGCGCTGGTACTCGTCAAACACGGAACTCAAGCACCATCTTTGTAATTTCCTCAAGCACCCAACAAGGCAGCCGGTTCGGTGCTGGACAAGGACAACCAATGTCGGAAAACATTCAGCACCAATTACATCATCTCAAGAAATCAACCAGAAACTGGTACACTAGTAGACAGTAGAGCGAGCACATACCTTCCCACGCTTGCAGTGAATCAACAAAGGATGATTCTTGACATCTAAAAAACATTCAAAATATTGGGCCACGTATTATTATTTTCTTATACTTGTACAACTCTATCAAAATTCAAGCATGTTTCAGGTCAATATGATCTGAGGGTAAGAAATACCAAGAACTACTTTAAGTGCTTCACGGATTTTGTCCTCTGGAATATTCACAAAGGGTTCCTGGACATACAAATCGTCAACAATTGTCAGTGTGAGAAGAACTATCAGTATCATCTTCCATCAACAACTTGAAAGATGTGTTGGTTAAGTCCCTTAGAGAAATATATTTTTTTTTAGAATGAGTCATCCATTTTACTATAGCTAGTACACTGGTTTAAAATCTTTCAAGTATATGCCGGCTTTCACACGAAATTAGCATAATCTAATGGACACATCTTCCATATCCCAATTTCAGGGCATGAATCCTTTGAACTCCCACAATTACCACTTAGCTAAAGCATCAGCTGGCAGCATTGGAATCAATGCAAATAATACACAAAAAGTAACACGAAAATTGGTTCAACTTCCTCCTTTACACCATTACTCAATCAAATTCAATGGATAAAGTTTTGGTGCTCATTTGAATACAAAGCACTAAGTGTATTTCCATGATGCTATTAAAACCACCCGTTCATTAGGCTGTCTGATAGTCTCCCTATCTCATGTTTATAACTTGATGTCCCTTTTGGAGGACATCCAATAAAAAAAGTTTAATTCCGAGCAAAAAACATAACTAAACAAGAAATCACTTTACAAAATAACACCATTATCTCTCAGTTAACACTTGTACGGGTATTGTAAAGATATTCAGAAGTTTCATATACCAAAAAGTACATTATTAAGATATATTTTTAACACAGTTGGTCATTCATTTTAATTTGAAACGTCACACTTAGCGCTAAAGTGAAAGGTTATTCAGAGTTTAGAGCTAAATTTTCTGCGGTGGATCACATTCGCTCCCTCAGGGAAATAGAGATGCCTATACTCTTTGATGTATCATGGCTAATAGAGAGAGATGTGACAGGGGAGAAGTTAAGCAAGAAAAGGTAACTTGATAATAGAGCTAACATGATCAAGGCTTGAATTCTTTCTTTAAATAGCCTGGTTAGGTCACTTGTTCTTATTCATCTCCTTCCAAAACTTCCTGAAATGTAATTTGGTGAAGTAGATAGAAACTGAAACACATTAAACTAATGGTTGTGATAAATCGGCAGTGGCCTCAAAAGATATGAAATAGAATCTAAACCACCACTATTACATCAAACGAAAAAGTGGTCCAGACTGAAGTAGGACCACACACACAAAAAAAAGTTTGCTTACTTTTGGAATCATTATGTACAACTTTAAGATAGAAATTTGATGGGGTATGAAATACTCATAAAGTTTGTGCTTTAAAGTGTATGGCCAACTAGACCACATTGTACTTTTCTTGTTTTAAGACAGACTGTTGGTTTTCACTGGGTGAAATCAAGAATTTTAACTGACAAATATTTTTAAGGAAAGCAACTCATTCAACTTTTGGCCGTGTAGGAATTGTTCATTAATCTGCAGCAGTAGGCAAAAAAAAAAAAAAAACAGAAATTTCTGAATGATTGGAGAAACTGATCAATTGAAAGCACAATTGCTTACTTTACATCCTTCGATCCCAAACTGAAACAAATGAATCCCATGTGATTTGAGAAATTCAACATTGGTATCAGGGTATGGTTCCGGGCATAGATATCTACAAAGAAACAAACATCAGTAAAAAATGTCAAGCCTTTGCTCTTTGAGTAGACACATTACATTACACACAAGCACTATATATAATCATCCAAAAGACTCTTAAACCCCTATATTTATCTTTTACACAAAATTGCTCATAAAGTCGAAAGATGCTTGGATATGAAAACGAAATTCAATCCATATAAGGATGTTCACCTGATTCCAGAGTTGAGTTGTTTTTGGTCGAAATGGATTACTCAACACTAAGTTATTCATTAATATGCTATACAGCTGATCGATTCTCAGCATCACATCTAATCTTCCTCAACAGTAAGCAATAATTTGAAGTGTTTAACAATGTGTAAAATTGTCACATCATAAGTTCAACTTGACAAAAAAAATACAAATATATAAAACTTAAAACAAATAGAGTGGCTTAAATATGTATTATAATGCACTAACAAAAGGACATTTGTATGGCTATGCCTGCATGATTCCGGCTTGATCATGGCTATAATTTGGTTATAATATACTTTCTTCTTAAAAAAGAGTACAAAAAAACACGATTAGAACCCTAAGAAACCCATCCTTCTCAGACTTCACGATTCACTGTATATGATCCCTCAGACAGATGCATCACATTAAATATACGTTATTGACGCGCAACGAAAACTAGATTACCATGCTGCATGTTGAATAGGATTTTACAGAATTTCTTTCGAGATGCATAACTAGCACAATTGCAATATCCAATTACTGAAACAGATGTTAACCTAAACCTGAATAATATATATATATAAAAATATATATAACGACCTGCTCAGTAGGCATATCACAATTCAACAAGTGGTGAACACAATAGTTATTCCTTCTTCGCACACTTAGAAGCAGAGTAAAGCGAAACAGTGCAAACCAAACTCACATAATAGACTGGAGATTGAGCGTCTGAAGGAAGGAGAAATTCGCGGTATCCGGAAATCCAGACCTGTAAATACCATTATCCACCATTGCAAAGTTGAGCGGCGGAGTGAAAAACACCTCCTCGCCGCCGCAATCAGCATCTCCTCCAACCGCTTCCGCCGTCTCGACAACTCCTTCCCACACACCGCCATTTCCACCGCCGTTCTCCTCCTCCCCTTGTCGCTGCTCCAACTTCATCATCATTTTCGAAAATCCTGCAACAATCGCGCACCGAAAAGCATAAATGATGCGAACGCTTTCGCTTTTGCGAGGGAGGATTCCGACAGAGATCGTTGAATGATTCCGCTTTGCTTTGCGTATGTATGAGATGAGATGAGAGGAGAGGAGAGGACCGCTTTGAATTCAATTCGTGAGAATGAATAGAAGCTTACATTTTTACATTTTTATATATATAAATTATTTATATAGAAAAGGCGCATTTGTATTTGGATTCGCAGCTCATAGAAGAATGCTATGTGTTTGCTTGGGGTGTTAGAATTTTAAATTCATTATTCAATCTCTTTTTTTTTTTAAATATTAAATTATATTATTTATTTTTTATTTTTTATATTATATTAAAAATTAATTTTATATTCAAAATATTATATAAACATTTATTTAAATCCATTATTCAATCTTTTTTTAAAAAAAAATATCAAATTATAATACCTATTTTTTATTTTTCATGTTATACTTAAAAATTAATTTAACATTCAAAATATTAAATAAACATCTATTTATATCAAATTATACAACTATTCAAATTCAAAACTTTTAGGATTTAAAATCTCAAATTAAAATACAAACCTCCGAACAAACACAACCTAAGTAGAAGTAGTGTATGCGTGTCGTGCTGGTTATCCACTAATCCTTCCAAAGGTCCCAGGATCTCAACGCCTGACAATCTACACCGTCAAATTCGTGGACCCCGCATATCGAATAGTCTCGATCTGCCGGCCGGCGCTCCTTTTTCTGCCCCCCTTGCTAATTTATTTTTCTTATTTTGAAATAGATTGCTTGTTCACCTGTGTCCATTAAAATATTAGTTCAATTTACGAAAAAGAATTAAAGTATTAAAATTTAAAAATAATAAGTATTTAATTTAATATTTTAATAAAAAAAATTATTTGATATTATATGTTTTAAAATTTATCATTATTTACTATTATAAACCCTATCATACTTTTTAAGTTTTTAAAAATAGCAAATGAAACACAATCTTAACAAAGTATACATATAAGAAAGGTTTAGGTTTGTCTCTTTTGATAAATTTGAAAATGTTTTAATTTGAATTTCATATTAAAATAATATACGATAAAATATTTTATAATAAAAAAAGTATAGTTCTTTTAAAAAAATACAAAATTTAAATAGTATAAATCTGAAAATTTTTGGTGTAAAAAAACACTCTTATTAATAATAATAATAATAATTATTGAGAAAAAAGGGATAAAAGTACATTCGGAGGAATATGCTTGTTTTACAGATTGGGAAGTGTCCTGTTGCATATAAATGCGAGAGCTGGCCGCCACGTCCCCATCTTTTGTCATTTCTTATGCAAATTTATTTTATTTTTAAATTTACGTTTACAATATTCTCCCAATCCCGCGATAGTTAAAAGAGGGTGTTTTGATAAATATTTTTTCGAAAGCTTTTAATTTATTGAATCGTTTTTAGTTATTTGAACAGCTAGGTATTTGATAAATTACAATTAAATAGTTTTTTTAACCTAAAAAATTAATTTTTAAAAAATTAAGTTACTCAACGTTTTGAAATAGCTTTTTCAGTTTAAAATTTTTTATTTACTATTTGTCCTTAAAAATTTATTATGCATTTTATATAAATAAATATATTTTGATTATTTATTAATTATATTAGAATATTTTATTATATTATAGGTTTACTTTTTTAAATTTAAAATAATTAATTTTTATATATAAATTATTTTTAATTGTAAAATATATAAATTTATTAAAATCAACACAAAATAAAAAATATAAATATTAATAATTTATTTTTATATTAAAATTACATTATATAAATTTTATACTAAAAATAAATTAAATTTATTGAAAATTATAAATATAATGAATTAATTGATAATTAACATAATAAATATATACACACAAAATTTATTATTTTATATTTTATATCATTTTCAATAGAAAAAACTATTTATATTTTCCAATAAAACTATATTATTTTTTATATCTAACTATAATAGAAATAAATATTATTATATAACAATTTTACAATTTTCAATAACTAATAACGAAAAATTTCAAACATTCTAAACTTAAAAGAACATAATTAAATATATTTAAAAAAAATAAAATAGAAATGTCTTCTATTGTCATTTTACGTATAAACAGCTAATATCAAACCGTTGTTTTACCAAATATTTTGATACAAACAGTTAATCGAATCAGCTAGTCAAATCAGTTAATTGAATAAGCTAACAACTATCACCCAATTGAATCAACAAATAACTATTAACTAATTGAATCAGCTAACAACTAACAACTAACAACTATCAGCTAATTGTCAAACACACACGTCATAAATCATTTTATTAGAAACACAATATTTTAAGTAGTTAAATTATTAAGTTATTAATAATAAGTTATGATATTTTATATATTCGAGTTACATTTACCTTTTAGGTAATTATATTTAACATTAAAATTATCTCTATATTTGTATAATTTTGTGTATAGATATCATTTGTATTAGTATTATAAAACACTAATATAAGTTTTGTCATTTCCATTTGATTTGTATCATGTTTTGATATAATGATTAATATTTAAAAATCAATACGCAAAAAGTAAATGCAATCCTTGAGTCGTACAGATGTAGTGATATTTTTTTATTTTTTATATAATTAGTATGTTGACATTTTAAATATTTTTAGAATTATATCTCAATAAAATATATGTGATATTGATATTATTTTATAAATAACAAAATTTTATATCATAATAAAAATAAATAAAAATTTATTTATTTATTTATTTATAATAATTTAAAATTAATTTTATAAAAAATAAGAAATTTTAAATATATATAAAAATATTTATTAATTAAGAAAAGAAATAGAAATAAATGAGGTATCGAGGGAGTCCTATGCACAATAAATTAAAAATTAATTACATTGGTTAATATTTGTTAAATATGTTTAAAATAAATAAGTTTACAAAAAAAAAATGAATTATCTTTTATAAGACAAACAAAAAAAGAAAAATAGATATCTATTGTGTGACAGATAGAGTACTAATTTATACTCCCTCGGTCCTTTTTTAAATGGGCCATTTGGGTTTTTTATAATATATTAAAAAATAATGATATTTTTATTAGTTAGTGGAAGTGTGCAGGAGATTTAGACATTTTTGTGATTTTATGTAAAAATTAATTATATGAGTAATGATATATTTCTAATTTAAATAAAATTTAAAGCTATTTTAGTATTAATATGTAATTACTTTTACTAAAAATACAAGTGATACTTTTAAATGAGATATAAAAAATGATAAAAAAAATACTTTGAATTGAGACGAAAATGATATATATTATTTTCTCATCATCGCGTATCATATTACAGTATTCCTTTATGACAATCTCACATTTTATAGTATTGCTTTTACGTTTTTTTTTTTTTAAAAAAAAACTTATTTACTTTAATTATATTTTATATTTTAAATTTATTATTTATAATTTTTAAATTTTAATTATATTAATTAATTATCTTAATTGTAAATATAATTATTTTTATTATATTTAATTATTTTTACTAATATATATATTTTTTTGGTTATATATACTAATCACACTTCTTTTAAATTCTACTAGTATATACCATAACTATGATATTATATTTTGTAGAAAAAAAGTATTAAACATTTGAAAAATGGTAGCTTTTTGTAATTTAAAATTTTTATTAATATAATCTTATATTTTATATGATATTTTAAAAATATATATTCTTATTAAAAATAATTAAATACTCTCATATTTCACTTAATTTGTCTATTTTAACTTAATCACTGAGTTTTAGTTATTACATAATTAGTAAATAATTAAGAAATATATTAGTAAAATAATTACGATTTAATAAAAATAATTATAAATTAAGATTAAATGACTAAATTTTTTAATTTAAATAAAAAATTTATAAATGATTAATTTTAAAACGTGATTAAAGTATATAATTATATTTTCAAAGAAAAAAAAAATTATATGGGACAAACGAAAAAAAAAAAAAAAAATTAGACAAATTAAGTGACATATGGAATAATATTTATTTTGATTTGATGTGAAAAACAAAGAAACTCTCACTTTCTTAGTCATAGGATAAATTAGTCACTGTAAATAACGGTGAACATTGATCGGCCAAAATCGAAATAATTGAATTTTTTTCGTTTCACTTGTTTGGTTAATTGATTTGGTTCGGTCCAAAATTAAATTTATAAATTTCAATATCGGTTCAATTATGATTTTTAATTTTTAATTTCAGTTAACCGAAATAATCGAACTTTTAAGAAAATAAAAAAAATTATTAATATATAATTATATTAATATTTTTGAGTATTTATATTTTGACTATCAATATATTAATAAACCAAACCAAATAAATTTTGGTATGTTTAGTTTTAAACCGAACTAACCGAAGAACTAAACCGAATTAGTATGGTTCCGTTTAGTTCGATTTTGAAAAATTGGGAGGGGTTACTGTACTTATTTGGGAATATCAGTATCATCGGCACACATAAAATATACAGATTACACATTTAGTTTATACAACACACTTGTGTTGTGTAAAAGAAAGATATGTGTTATTTGTTTATACTTATAACGTGTATTGTATAAGAATATACTCCTTTCGTTCCAGATGAAAGTACTTTTTTGGAGTTTTGTAATAGATTAAGAAATAATACTCCCTCCGTCCTATAAGAATTGTCTTGTTTTGCCATTTTCGTCGGTCCTAAAACAATTGTTTTATTTCTTTATTTGGTAACTGTGGTCCCCACTTTATAATAAAATTATTTTTATTTTCTCAAACTACCTTTAATTATTACTCTAACCTATTTTTTAAAATCCTTCAAAAGACAAGGACATTTTAGTCTTTTATATTCTATTTTATATCTACTCTCAATTAAATATTATTATTTTTTAATTGTCATGTCAACTCCCAATAGTATTTTATTGGTTAATGGAATTGTGTAAAATTTGTCGGATTCTGGTTTTGAATAGTAAAATTTTGAATTGAACTAGTTGTTTGATGTGATATAAATATGTATTGATATGATATAAATATGTATTGATATGATGTTTTGAATGTAAAATTAAATTTTAGTGTAATATAATAAATAACAAATAGGTGTTTGATTAGATAATTTTTGGAGAAAAAACAAATTAAAATAGTAAAACCAAAACCTAAATTGCACAAGTAAAC